CAGCCATGTACGATGTGAGGAACGGGATGTGTCGCTTTCGCGCTGGCTTCTATGTATCGCTAGTTCGATTCCCTGACACATACAGAAATATTTATTTAATCAAGCTTTATTTATATCGAGTATCCTACAGATACGTTAAGGTCTTACACACACAGAGATCCAACTGGAACAAGTGTTAGTACGATATAATACGCATATATTACTAGTATCACAATCCACCAATCATCAGCTGCAAGTTTTAGGCTTAAAGCCTCAGGAACCTCTTGAAACGTTGAAGTTTACCATCTGCATCGTCGAGCCTTGGCAAGATCTGATGATACTTCGCGATCACAGCGTCGGCGTCAACACGAATGACGCAACGAAGAGTAATAAAGGTCGGTCAACAGTTACGGGACACTCAAGTGAAGGACGGGAACTCAGTCGCCGCGCCAAGTTTCACCACCTCAGTGTGACATGACACCATGGAGGAAGGAAAAACTGAGGATAGGCCTATCCTATCCCAATGCATTGCGAGAAGTGTGACGGAAGTGACGTCAAATTTATGGGGCAAGCAAAACCGGTATGGGGCAAACAAAACGGCAGACGCTCCGCGGCGTGCTCTGTGCGCTGGTTCGCTTCTGCGCGGACTTGTAGCCCCGGCGTAAACTTAACGCGTGTTGTATGCTTTGCATGCAGTAAAATGTCGCGAGCACCCCTTTTCGAGACTGTTCGTACGTGGCAGGCCCGAGCGCGGCGTGCCGAAATACTTCGTGAAGTGTTTTTGCGCAACAACACAGAAAGCACCGGTACGCGTCGTAATCAAAATCATTCAGCCCCTGCATCATCGTATTCGAACTCACCCGGCAGTGACCTATGCCTTCTGCTCGCCGTATGGCCTTTCTTTGTTCTTAGCAAGATTTTCTGATCTACGGTCCGATTAGCAGTTCTTTGCTCGTATATAGTGTCAGTGTGGCAATGCACGATTTTGAGAACTTGCTTCGTAGCTATTCCGTGCAACGCCAGCCTAGTACTTGACGTACTCCACGTCTGTAAGAAGGCACCACTGTATTGTATACGCGATCGTGCGCGTAAAGTATGTAATTACATTGCGCCCACAACTAACACGCAGCGAGTGCACACCGTACAATGCATACACACGTAGTCCGATAACTGGAAAAGTTTATTGTCCTTCCGTATGAACGACACAACTTCTGAAAACGCGACACGATGCTTACAACAACACTAAAAACGAAAGTTCGCGTGTGTTCTCAGTCGACACAATAAGAACCAGCGGAGCGTACAGCGGAGAGCTCCGCATGCAAATACCATGCATTATTGATCAACAGTAAAGCGAACATGCGTGAAACGTGCCACCAGGTACATCCGGCGGTGCACTCGATTAGCACCGAGTATACAGCTGGACATCGCACAGCTTTCCTAGAAAACAAGCTGTACTCGTGAATTGACTCGCTGCCGGCAGAGAAAGCCAGTCGTGCACCCACTGTCCACAGCCCGAGAATCTCGACCGATATTCTACTTCAGTGCACTGCATATTTGTATGAGCGCTGCGCTTTCTTCGATGCTTATCGTCGCAGGGGGCTCACCACCGCCACCGTCAACGACCTCCTTTTTCCGAGCGGGAGTGGGATCAAGCGTGTGCTCCGGACGCTGATCACATTCTTTGAGGACAGCGACTTTGACTCTGAACATTCCTCCCCACCTACCTGGTGGCTTCCCTAACTCTCCCCAGTGGTTTACAGCTTCTCCACTGAGTGTTATTTTGTGGACTCGCTCGCTGGATTCCGTGCCGACCGGTTGTGCCCTCGCGATCTCCGATGACAGAGCAGCTCTGGCCAACTGGGTTGGTCCTACACCACCTCCTGACGCCGGTCACCTACGACGACCACAGCGTAGCTCTGGCCGACTGGATTAGCCCTACGCTATCTCCTGTCGCCGACATCAGCTCTCGCCAGTGGTGCCCCGTCCTCGGACTCCTGTGACCGTGTCCAGCTGTCCTGTCTTCTCCTTACATCCGTCGCTCCCTGTCCGTGCGCCTCGCTCTCTTTTTCCTCTATCTCTATCTTTCTACCTTTTAATCCTAGCCTTTTATTCCATTCTCTACCCCAATCCCTCGTGAGCTACTGTTGAGGCGTCCTCCCCCTGAGAGACAGTTACGGGGCTCACTTTTCTCTTCTTTTCATTCATAAACACTTCCCCCTGTTATTTTGTAATTTTTTTCTCTCTCTCCACTTACTTATGACTACGTGCGCTGCCGAGTGCTTTGCTACGCGCTTTCCATGCAACTGACCCCTCCTTAGGGCCCGTCACAGCTGCTCCTACTCGGCGGGTTTTCCTCTCCCGATCTTCTTGGCGGCCTTTCCGGACAGATTGCGGCTTGCTATTGTTTGGACACGCGCTCTGCAGACAGAGTCGATTCCTCTTTTTCCCCTTTTTTAATACTTCTCCCCCAGTCTTCTCTTACCTATACCCTTCCATTCCACTACCCATTCCCGTGCCGACCTGTCGAGATGTCATCATAACGATCATGGAGGAAGGAATAAATAATATAAGAGAGGCCATGACGTCATATTTGGGAAGCCGCCGCATCGCAAACACCCGCACTATCTCCTAGCGGAAAAGTAGATGAACCCTTCGCGATTTCCGGCGAGCAGCCGCTGCGGCGTCCTTGGAAGCAGCGCCGGCGGAGTGGAAGCTGGTAGGTGTTCTCTGCCAACAGCGAGTCAATTCACGAGTACTGCTTGTTTCACGTGTTTTTTTAGGAAAGCTGTGCGATGCCCAGCTGTAGTGTATATTCGGTGCGAATCGCGTGCACCGCCGGATGTACCTGGTGGCACTTTTCACGTATGTTCGCTTCACTGTTGATCAATAATGCATTGTATCTGCATGTGGAGCTATCAGCTGTACGCTCCGTTGGTTCTTACTCATTGTGCCAACTAAGAATACACGCGTATTTTCGTTTTGGGTGTTGTAGGCATCGTGTCGCATTGGTAAGAAGCTGAGTCGTTCATTTTGCCGTAGTTGTTGTTTTCACCAGTGTGCAGCCGGCAGTGACCATGGTAGAAAGGGGGGGGGAGGGCTTAGCCCTCTTTGCACCCCTCCCCCCAGCTGATACGCCTATAGCTGAAACATTCCAGCTGACCGCTTCTAATATTTTCTACACCTTTCTTCAAAAAAGTGTTCCGGAAGCAGTGAGATAGCATGGCAAGGAGCAAAATGCATGCTTTCGGAATTTTGTAGCTCTCACAAAAAGTGGCGGAAAGTTCGAGTTTCAAAGCTGCCACCCAAATCACCACGACCCATATGCAACGTAATACGCAATTACACGCAAAGTGCACTTAGCGCCATCTCTAGTCGAAAAACTAAACTTTTTGGCAATCCCCTTCAATTTGTCCCCATAGGTGACGCGGCGGTTGGCGTTGTTCGAGAAGCGTTTCATTTTCTTCAGGCGCGACTTATGAGCTTGTCTCTGGTGTGGCGACGGAGTGATAGTACAGAAGAGGGGAGGGAGGGGGGGAAGGCTGCAGTCACTCGACATTTTCGCCCGTCCCCCTTTTCCCCCATCAAAGAACAAACATAGTAAAAAACACTTCCATGCAAACCTCTCTCTCCCCCAAAGAAAATCGGTTGTCTAAGTGTACACCCCCCTCCCCCGGTTCCTCAGCGTCAGTTATCATTGCCGTGGCTGCCCCCCCCCCCCCACTTTATCGTTTCAATAGTAAATATCCAGGCACCTCTCCTAAATGTCTATAAAAGTCTATAGTTCGCACAATATAGTTAAAATGAAACATGGGTAACTTTTTAGACCGGTGTGTTTCTCTGTCAGACACAACAAAATCTAACAGACAATATACGCTACTTTATTAGCCAACGAATGTGTGGCAGTAATGACGTAAACTAAATATAATACTCGACGAATAATGATCATTACGATGGTGGGACCCGCGACAAAAAATGTTTACACACCAATTAATGTCGCCTATGCTTTCCTCGACATAAATTGTTTGTCAGATTCATTTCGTTGCGTGTGACACGAATACAAGACATCCGATAATATTTCAAGAACCAAAATGAGGTAATATTACTTTGTTCTGGGTGAATTTCAGTGATTGGCTGTTATAAATGTCTACAAGTATACATGATTACTCTGCGGTCGAGCGTATCCCATTTTTGCATATAACAATGAAATCGCATGCTTTAAATGCATGCTCTAGTTCGCTTTTGGTTGTATTTGTTTCGAACGAAAAAAAAGTTTTGAAGTTGGTCATCGTAGATGGCACGTCGAATGAATTGTGGGACATTGCAGAGCCTTCACGAAAACGAAACGCACTGGGGCGGTCTAATGGTTAAGTTCCTCGGTTGCTGACGGCAAGGTCGCAGGATCGAATCCCCGTCGCGCCGGCTGCATTTCGATGGAGACCGAAAGACAGATACTTGTGTACTTTGATCTGGGTGCACTTTAAAGGATGTGAGATGGTGAAAATTCCTGATGTGATCACATTAAAAAATGCAAAAAGAATATGTTCAACTTAGAAGCACCAAGCAAAAGTACTTCGAGATACGTTGCTAGGGAAGTCACAATGGAGTGATTCTATTTCTTAGTGTAGTGCTTCTCAGCCATGGATGTTTTGGGGGACCCCTTGTGGGCTGGTGGAACGAATAAACGATGGAGTAATTCTATTTCTTAGTGTAGTGCTTCTCAGCCATAGATGTTTTGGGGGACCCCTTGTGGGCTGGTGGAACGAATGAGGGACCTCTTGCGATAAAAGACAAGGGTGTTGGTACTGGGGGGGGGGGGGGGGATAGCACACTGTACACTGTGAAATAGGTGTCTTTTATTTTTTTCTTGCGAAGAGTGGTCTAACGAACTTACCACGCCATTTTAATGTCAAGAGTTTGTCAATAAGCCATGCGGCTTGCAGTCACATTCGACCCGTTGCTAATTTGTTTGCTCTGTTAATATGCAGGCGTAGAACAAATACGCGCTCGTGAAAATGTCTTAGTAGGATGAGAAGCAACATTTATTTGGCACTTTGTAACACTGAATAGTGTAACATTATCGTGAATAGCAAGAAGTAACATCACCGAAGGCCAGTCGTAGCTGGAACACACCTGATGGAGAGAGAGAATTGGTGTGGGGGAAATGAATGGACGTTTTGGAGAACAAGATAAGTAGAAAACAAAAAGTAGTGCATCCAAAGCGTTTGTTTATATGCTTTTCTTCACTTGTCTAAGAGTTACTGGATAATTCTCTGCCCCTTCTCTTTTTCATCGATATAACGTCCCTGTTGTGCTTGCATGAGAACGCTGAACGTGCGTTGAACAGATCGACGGTGTTCTACAAGATATGTCAGGCAACATATTAGAAGCACAGTTTCACTGGCTACTGGCCTGGCAATTGTCAACGTCACTGCTAATATTGCACGCATGCTCCCGTATATACGAATGTCGGACACATTTCAAGGGTGCAATGTCGGTTCCGAACATTGACGAGGGCCTTTGGCGACCCCGATGTTGCTCGCGATTGAGTCTCTAGTCGTAAATGATGACATTTTCGTGCTCACTCCTGGTCCTTGATCATAGCAGCAGCAATGCCCCCAGAAGAGTACGGTACAGTTCACGCCATTATCACAGTCGGAGTTCAGGAAAGCAGAGCACCTTTCAAAAGAGTCTCAGCGGGTCTTGCCTGCAGACTCCATGACCGGACTTTCACGAACCGTTCTGAGCGTCGCAGCGAGACCAGATTCTGACGCAGTGGCCGGCGTCCACACAGGACGTCGTACCTGACGCAGTCCGTGCTTCCGCACTCCTTTTCGTCTGATCCATCAGGGCAGTCGTCATGACCGTCGCACCGAGACTTCTCGGGAACGCAGGTGGTAGCCGAAGGCCCACATGCAAATTCCCCGTCCTGGCACAACCTAGCGCGGCAGGCGCTGGAATCTTCGTCAGACCCGTCGCGGCAATCGCGCCGACCGTCGCAGCGTAGGCGATTCGGTACGCATTCGCCGCTTGTGCACGCGAACTTCGACGCCGAGCACGTGTCTCGGCGACAGTTCTCTTCGTCCGACCCGTCACCGCAGTCGTCGTCACCGTCGCACCTCCAGCTCTTCAGCACGCATCGACCGTTCCCGCAGGCGAACTCCGGTGCCATCCGAACAGGTCGCGCTCGGGCAGCCTTCTTCGTCGGAGCCGTCGGCACAGTCGCGAACCCGGTCACATCGCCATTCGGAGGGAATGCAAGCGCCGGTGCGGTTCTTGCACGCGAACTGGTCTGGATGGCACGTCTCGCCCTCCCCGCACGTCACCCTCCCTTCGTCCGACATGTCGTCGCAGTCGGGCTCACCGTCGCAACGCCGCCAGCCCGCGATGCACTGGCCGTTTCGGCACCTAAACTCTGTCACTGAACACGTGCGAGTATTCTTCAGGCAGTCCCTTTCGTCGGAGCCGTCGTTGCAGTCTTCGGTTCCGTCGCATAGACGAGCCGCTCGAATGCAGTTGCCAGTCGCTCGCGCACTTGAACTCGTTCGTCAAGCAAGGCTCCGATGAGCGAGAAGTTGGAACACTGTACGTCACCACCGTTCCGAGGGCGTTGCCGAAGACCACCAGAGACAGCAGCACAGCAGGAATGGCGGACATCATGATTATAACTATGTTTACGGCGGGGGTCAATGAAAAAGTAAAAGAAAGGTGATGACCCTCGCTTGATGCCCTAATATTCAGAACGAGCCGAGGCGGTGTCACTATTGTAGACCTGAGATTATCTAAGGAGTTGTGTGACGTCTGGGCACCTCGCGAAGGCTTATGCTGGCTTGAGCTCTGGGACCGAAAACGCCGCCTGTCGCTCTGTTTTGTCCCAACATTCTCGCATCACATATATGAAGTGGCGTCACTCTTATAGCGTCATCGGCGACTCGCGATTGGCCCAATGTAAGAAACGGAGTCGTGTATCAATCGTCATTCTCGAACCGGAGCAGCACAACAAGGAAGTTGCGGTGAGTTACCGAGCCGACTCGTTGCGATTCACAGATATGAGCGAAAGAAGACCGATAAGCTTAGCAAGGAACTCGTGTCTCCTAGCGACTGAATTACGAGCCTGAGAAATCCCACTGCAACGCTCCTGGTGTTGACGCTACACACACTCGAGAGATTATCGCCCTGAATGACGCTGGCGAGCGGGCGAGTAACATTACACACCCATCGCTCGAAGCTTGTAAGCATTCTCAGCCGCGTTTCGGGTTATAGCAAAGCGTCGATTGCGGAACGAGCCGCAAGGCAACTTCCGCTGTTGGAAAGACCTTGCCCCAATGAGTGTCAGGTTAGGTTGCCTTCGGATAGCGTGTATGCGCGATCGACGCTGTGTAAGTGGCGGGCACCGTGCGCTGTATTCCCTTGCTACGTAAGGACTCTTCAAACGTTTGAATACTGGGCTGTCGAGAGTCGAGCACCTAGGAACAGCCCTTACTGAGAGGCACGAGAGTATATGAGTCATCCTCTGAGAGACTACCTTCCAGCCGGATTAGAGGTCGTTCAAGTTCTCCGTTCATCGACTTGGAAAGAGTGGCTTCGCCGTGGTGCAACATGATGGACAGGATTCATTACCACCTCCAGGTGTGTGCACCAGACCAACAACGCGGCACTGCAGTCCCAAATCGGCCGAAATTGGTCACCTATTCGGGCCCACCGATTGGACGAAAAAAGACATCGCTCTTCCGAGTTCGTCATTCGCTGTTGTTGTTAGTGGTTCATGAGGAAAAGGAAGAAGGCACCTAATTTCTGTCTGCCTACAGGCGACACGGCGCAGTGCCTAATGGACGCGATGTTATGAGCCGGACACGGAAGGCGAGCCGTGGAAAGGAAAATTACAGGCTTGACGTAAAAGAGCGGAACCGGCCAGGGAACAAACAGGTGTTTAGTGCATCTCAGTTTCAATTAGCAAAAAACGGGCAAGGGCAGCACGTGTAACGCGACGGCAAGGTAACTCCTGGTCATTAGGAGTAACACACTGAATTCCCAGAGAAGGCCAGCACGTGAAAGCAGGTGTGTAGCTAAGTGGGCAGGTGAGCTTGAGAAGTTTACGGAGATCACGTGGCCGCACCTATAGTGCAGCACGGGGTCGATGGGCGAAATATAGATGATGCCTTTGCCCTGCAGTGGGTGAAGTCAGGCTCAGGATGATGATGATAGTGATGATGATGAAGCCGGGCAATCGTTGAAAGAGATGACTCTTTAAATCATTAAAAGAGAAGTTGAGATAACAGCATGTAGGCGTAAAGCTCAAAACGCTGATAAGACTCACGCTTAGCGTTGACATCTACCTGTTTTATGAAAAAAGGAGTGTTGAGATAAGAAAGAGAGAGAAAAAAAGAGGGTGAATTTATCAGGATGTCAGCCTGAAGACGTGGGCACTGGCCAGACACTCTGCACAGGGGAGAAGAAAAAAAGAATGATGAAGGTGATGATGGGGACAGGAAGAGGCGATGAGTATGTAAATTAATCACGTGACACGATCGTCTTCCTAAAGCCTAGCTTGAAGTACAGTACTCTAGAGAAAACCTATGTGTACCCTTGCGGCGGTCGTTGATGCTGCCTGGTCGGAGAGTGATGACATTAGGTTACCTTCGCACGGAGGGTTCACACCGATGCCAGTCAACGTTGAAGCCAGCAGCGTCTTCCGTTAGGACATGTACAGAGGGAAATCTCACAATTGACGTGTTGCAGTTCCATTTACATGGTGGTGCCTGTAGGAGGGCAGTGAAGGCGAGAAACAAGGCTTTTTCTCGCTTTAAAGTCGGAGGGCTATCATCACCATCATAACCTGACTACGCCCACTGCAGGACAAAGGCATCTCCCACGTTTCGCTAGTCAAATTCGTCATTTGCTTGCTGCTGCCACTTTATACCCTTAAACTTCCTAATTTCATACGTCCATCTAACTTCCTGTCTCCCCCTCACCCGCTTGCCTTACAGGACGATCAACTTGCTCTCCATCGTATACAAGCTATTTACAAAGATAATTGCTAACAGAATTTAGACAACACTAGACTTCAATCAACCAAAGGAACAAGCAGGATGTCAAACAGGCTACTCAACAATCGACCACATTCATACTATCAATCAGGTAATAGAGAAATGCTCAAAATATAACCAACCACTATACATAGCCTTCATAGATTACGAGAAGGCATTTGATAAAGCAGAGATGTCAGCAGTGACGTAGACACTGTGGATTCAGGGCGTCGACGAAGCATAAATAAATATGCTGGAAGAAATCCACAGCGGATAAACTGCCACCATAATTCTCCATGAAGAAAGCGACAGTGTGTTATAAGGGCCCTTTATTGCACCGTTGATCGCACTCGGATGCATGAGCCTTACTTGAAATATGACTTGAAGGGAAGTTCCCTAGTGTTCGAGGGGGTGTGTGTGTGTGGGGGGGGGGGGGGTGCTTGCGTGTTGGAATGAGTTGAGCTCCAAGCCCGTGTGCCACAGTTTCAAGCACGACTACGTAAAGCCTCAAAACGCCGAAAAAGAAGCTCTACAAACGGACAATTGATTTGATTACCTATACTCATCATTACATCGAAAACGGAAACAATTGCCTCTCATAAAAAATGTGAAACAGCACATTTCTTAGCGATAGGTTTGTTTAGCTTAAGATGAATCAAAGTTCTCACCGTTCATGTCTCACGCATATTTGGCACTGGCAAAGAGAATTCAAACCCACACAGCAAGGTCCCAGCTGATCAGATGGGTACTTTATTTCATACTGACTATTATAGCACTGCAATTTCAAAAGCGTTTCTACAAACAGACCATGAAATAGCCATGAATTGAAACAACAGGATAGTGAGAGGCAACTTGAGGAGCTCGCTCGTCTCATGAGTTCTCGATAGTAATTTCCAGCTCAAGCTTTCCCTCACAGATGTATGTAAACAGTCTCAGGTCAAGAAATGTTCGTTTGAAATTTCCGTGAAAATGTACCATCGAGTCACCAACGTCGACGCAGCGACAAGGGCGCTTGCGGCGTTTCAAGGGACACGTGACTTCTCGGGAGCTGGTGTACGTCGAGATGCCGAAGCGAGGCGCCAAGACACCGAGAGCCGACCATCATTCCAACAAAATCAATATCCGCACAGAGCGTACGTTCGTTTGAAAGAATGACCTCCTTTAGTGCAATAGAGAAGTAGGAGTCTGCAGTGTGCAATACTGTAATATTCCAAATGATTCGGCCCATACGAAAGTACTTGGATTTAGAGAAGTCGATATTTACGATATACTTGACACTCTCTCGCACTTCCCGCCATGAACTTTTCGTCGACAGCTTACTGGTCGACCTTATGTTCCATGTGCTTTCACAAGGCCATACGTATTCAACCAAATATTGGGGATAATATTGTGTCGAGGTTTTCCGCATCCTTTCCAGAATAGGAGGTGACATGTCTGAGAAGATTTCTGGCCTTTGGCTGATCCTTTCCGGTGACCTGAGAGCTGACGACGACGTGCTTGCTTCACCCCCACAGTTTTGCTGAGATGTTGGTTCTTGCAAGACCATGTCGACGAAGCCCTGACCGCGTGTTGAACCGCCTCCGCAGCTGCAGCAGCCTAGCCTGTGGTTTCGGCCAACCTGAAATCCCGACTCGCGACTTGTTCGTTGAGCTCATTCATCTGACTCTGAATCGCAGGCAGCGCTTGGTCGTGGTTCGGTTGTCTCAAGAGTGCCTTCACTTCTTCCAGAGCATTCCTCACGTCTTGTAGCGTCAGCACTCTAGCTTCCGTCGATGTGGTCTCTGGTCGTGATGAAGAAACGCTTGTACTGCATCCGGCTGCGCAGCGCGTTGCCAGTTCCTTGTGCAGGACTGCTTCGCCGCATCGCGAACACTCTACGGCGTGGAATGTGCATTCGTTGCCGTAGGGTCGCAGCGTGCCTTCCATCACGCCCTCGCACTGGCATCCATGAGCTTCATTCCAACAATAGACCTGCTTGGAAAGAAAAGACAGGTGCGATTATTGTATTCAGGTTATCTCCATATATGGAAACTGGATCGACCCTTCTGCCGTATTTTTTCGAGTACCTTGGAATTGCGGATAGGCTCTATAGGTATGTCGAAGGGCATATTGATCGAACGCATGGAACACTGCTGCATTGCGTGCTCTTCAATCGTACAGAGCAATTATATATATATATATATATATATATATATATATATATATATATATATATATATATATATATATATATATATATATATATATATAAGGGAAAGAAGTGTATACCTAAAGGGTCGTTTTTCAGTGTTTTGACACATGAGATCTAACAGACAGTAATGCCAAGATATCAATATATATATATATATATATATATATTTATATATATATATATAAGGCAAAGGAGTGTATACTTAAGGGCTTGTTTTTCCGTGTTTCGACACAATAATAATGAGATCTACCAGACAATAATGGCAGGCATGTATAGGGGAAGTTATTAAACCAATTGTAATGTAAATGTGAAGAAAGAAAAGTGGGTG